GAAGTAGTAGGAGTATCTCTGTGTCACATGCAGTAAATATCTATCTACCCCTTAAGTGTTTTTTGAGAATGTGTGGAAAAGGCGAATGAATAGGAATACAGAGAATGTATAGGAATGGTTTAGTATGATGGCTGGAGAATTAGAGCATCGTATATGTCAATAAGTAGCAGTGATAAACAGTAGATAGAAAGTGATATAAGTGAGGGACCAGCAGATGGTATAATGGTTACATCGCTGGACTCCCAGGTAGTCGACTACAGTTCAAGTCCTGGATTCGGAGGCTTAACACTCATGCCAGGCACATGTGCATGCATGCCCAAGTGATAGAAGGGATTTTTCTGAGAACCTAGGAGACATGATCAGTGAGTGACTTGAGAATACTAATTGGCATTCCAATTAGGATGGATGGGAGTAGGAAGTGATGTAAGCCATGTGCTTGACTCTACCAGACAGCAGTCTGGATGTAATGTGAAAGGGAGTGAGGGAGCAATCTTCAACACTAGGGATTAGATAGGCACCAGGCAAGAAACAAAATCAATAAGGTCTGATGGAAATATTATATCCTGTCCAGTGGACTGGCCACAATTTCATCGGTTTGATACAAGCTTTAATTAGACACCAAGTTGTTAAATACTTCGAACATCACTTGCAAGCATAGGCAATTGGGTAAATAGTCATTCTGAAGCCCATTTTTGTTATCTATAATTGTGGAGGATGAGAAGAGGATTTAATTATTCGTATTCTGCTATTTATATGACTTAGCACTAACATGTTTGCATATAGTAGACATACATACATACATACCAGTTTATTAAAAACACATCTTCTCCAAGAATTCAGTCTATAAAGCATCACATTTCCACAGCAATTTCTTCACATGCTGCATCCCTCGCCTAACACTATCCAACCCACTCCTTTGTTCCTAATGACTTAAGAATTAACTTTAGGGCCAACCCATAGCACAGTGTTTAAGCACTGGGCATTGGGAGCCAGATCCCACCTGGCTGACTGCAGCTGGAGTGCCTGCCACAACAGCTTGAGAGACTTGCCAGATAAATGTGTGAGCCATTCCCAAACTCCTGACAAAAGGAAAAAATGGAAGAAAAGTGTTGCCCCATTTGAGTCTGTCTCTCTCTCTCTCTCTCTCTCTCTCTCCCTCTCTTTCTTTCAAGTGCACATATCCTTTGACAAAAAAAAAAAAAAAAAAAAAAAACTTTGGGTCTGGTTCCATAGTGCAACAATTAAGCCCTGTGTACTGGGAGTCAGATCCCACATGACTAACCATGGTTCAAATCCCAGCTCCAGTGGCTTGAAAACCATGCAGGATTGGGACCAGCAGTTGGCGTAATGGCTATGTTGCTGGACTCCCATGTCATCGATCGCAGTTGGAGTCCCAGACCTGGTGGCTTAAACTCACGCCGACCATGTGTACGTGCATGCCCAGGATCCCGAGAGGAGAATGGAGGAGAAGGGATTGCGGCATGGCCATCTCCCCTGGGGGGTGATTTCTCACTTCCTGTCTCTGTCTCTGTCTTTCTGGAGAATGCACACACCCTACAGTCAAAAAAAAATACATCTCTCAAAACAAAAGAAAATCATGCAGGGCAGATGTGCACACCTGTCCAAAATCTTGACAAGATGAAGAATAGGAAGGAAAAATATTACGGCATGACCACACACAACTAGGGGCCTAGGGGTCTCTCTCTCTCTCTCTCTCTCTCTCTCTCTCTCTCTCTCTTTCTCTCTCTCTCTCTCTGGTGATCACATATGCCCTCTGGCAATTAAAAAAAATAACATTGACCTATGAAAAACTGAAGTGCCACTTTTGAAGTCATATTGAAATCATTCCGGCACTATTGTACACCAGGCTTGTGTATGTGTGTGTGTGCTTCCGTATTTAATTGATAAGACAGCAGAGGAGATAAAAAGCTGATCTAAGCATTTAAAAGCTTACAAAAGAAATACATTCACTTTGCTCTGCATCCCCACTGAAGTCCAAAAATCTTCTCCAGAAGTCCTCTGAGGTGAGAAACAGAGTGCAGACTGGTTCTGTGAATAATGAGTCCTGATTACATTCAGAACCAGCACAAGGCAGGCTGACTCAGTAAATAGGTCTGTTGAATAAAATGCCACCATTATCATTTAGGATGAGACTTAGGGCTGGAAGAGTATTTTGTGGCTTTTGTTTGTTTCAAAATATAAGGGACCAGGGAGAACATCCATTCCAATTCCCCTCTCAGTACACCTGCACCCTTCTATGACAAACCATCAGTACTCAAACTTAATAAAATAAAATAAATTATAACATTAATGATCACTGAGTGGGGGAGGGATGATTGCTGAGTGGGTTTACTTTTCACACTTGGCTGAATTTTCAGAACATAAGCAATGAGCATGTACCAGCTTTAAAACCAGAAGCAAAAGGAAAGTGATCATCCGGGCATATTCTTATCTACTTTTAGCTAAATGATCACATCAGTGGAAACGAATCTACTTGAACATATTTACATAGGGACTATTTTTAATTGTTGCCCCTAATTTCTCTCAACAATATCAAGATTTTACCTGGTGCAATGACTAAAAACTATCAAATTACGTTTCGAGCTAAACATTTTCCTGAATTATAATTTCTACAAAGACATGTTCTAAGAGAAAAAGAAATGAGCTCGCCTCTGTACTCATACACTAAGCAGGCACCAGCTCCTTTTGCAATTGTCCTTTTCAAACTCCTGAGTGCAATTTGGGTCAAATCATTTATTATATAGACCTGCTGTGAGCTCTCTTGGTGTCAAATATTGCCATCCCATTTGTTAACAAAAAAGAAAGAAATTAAGACAAGGAAACCAAAATATGCCCTTAAGGAATAAATTGGAAAAGTGTAAAATAGAGCGTATATCACATAAACCTTCAATTATTGATAATATCCTGGCTACTAAGCCTCTCTGCTGTTCCAGACAAGGGTATAACCAGCCTACAAGAACAACTGGTTGAAACTTTTGATGAATTGAACTTATATCATTCTGTCAAGTGGAGAAATACAGGGGAAAAGAACACGCTTTTCTTTATATGACTTAATTTCTGTACTTCATTATAAGAAACTATACACTGCTGTAAAAGTGATTCACTGATTTCTATTTTCCTCTTGCTGTTAATTTTTAGTTTCATTAACTTTTGTTACTTTCTCCTCCATAATTGAAATGCTAAAATGGGGATTGAAAAGTGCACTATAGGAGCCAGAGGTGGCATGATGGTTAAGATACCAGATTCTCACATGGTCAGCTTCATTTTCCAGTCCCTGAACCCAATAGCTTTAAATTCACACTGGGCATGTGTGCATGCATGCATGCCCAAAATTCCCAAGAGAAAAAATGGAAGAGAAAGGATTGCAGCATGACCATCCCCCTGTGAGGTGATTTCCTCACTTTTCCTCTTTCTCTCTCTGTCACTCTCTATGGCAAGCACATGTACCCTAGCAAAAATCTTAAAAAAAAAATAAAATAAAAAAAAAAAAGAGAGAGAGAAAGAGAAAGAAAAGAAAAAAGAATGCTATAGCCAGAAGTTATAAGAAATAATCCGTATTGGGAACCAGCAGTTGGCGTAATGGCTATGTCGCTGGACTCCCACGTAGTCGACCGCGGTTCGCGTCCCGGACCCGGTGGCTTAAAACTCACGCCGGGCGCGTGTGGGTGCGTGCCCAAGATCCAGAGAGGAGAATGGAGGAGAAGGGATTGCGGCGTGACCATCCCCTCTGGGGGGTGATTTCTCACTTTCTGTCTCTATGTCTCTCTCTGTCAGCCAGAGGCTGAATTTCTTCCTAACTATAGCAACAAACATAGTGATTTAGCTAACAGACTAAGAAAGAGAGGAAGTGAGGTGAACTTTTTTTTTTAAGTTTTTGCTTTGGGGTGTGGGTGTGTGTGCTCACCGGAGCGAGACAGAGAAAGTGAAAGTGAGAAATCACCTCTCTGGGAATGGCCATGTTCAACCGCTTCTCCTCCATTCTCCTCCCGGGATTTTGGGCATGCACACACTCATGCCCAGTGTGATTTTCATTCTGCCGGGTTCAGGACTTGACCTGTGATCAACCATGTAGAATCCAGCGCCTCAACCACCACGCCACCTGCTGGCCCTGTGAGGTAGACTTTTAAAGTGAAGGTTCCCTACCCAAAAGGGTAGGAATAACACAGGCAGCAGACCCTCTCCTCCTCACATAGATAGTTAAGAGAGTTAGCAGATTAATTCCGAGGTCGAAGGGCCAGAGGGCTTTTTCACAAGATGTGGCTAATAAAGCAGAGAACAGAAAGCCAGACTGACAGCCTGCGAATCTACCTGGGACTGAGTATCTGATGCCATCAGGCTCAGTGCACACCTGGTCTGGGCTCTGGTTGGGTCAAGTGGGGAAGCATCTTTCAGCCCATGGCTTTTGACCTGGTGTCCCGGATGTGGTATACTGCCGACCTGTGTCCTGGTTATGATGTATTCCCAAATTGTGTCCCGGCTGTGCTGTACAATACTTCTGACCTGTGTCCCGGCTGTAGTGTAGTCCGCACCTGTGTCCCACCTGTGGTGGACGGCACATCCTGCCTGTGTCCCGCCTGTGGTGGACTCCCCACCTGTGTCCCGGCTGTGTCGCACTCTGGACCCGTGTCCCGGCCGTGCTGTACAGTCCTTCTCACCTGTGTTCGGCCGTGCCATAACGGCCCTCCCCACCCGAGTCCGCCTGTGGTGGACAGTCCCTCCCCACCGAGCTCCGGCCGGGCCGCCCGGTCCCCCCACCGTGTCCCAGCCGTGGTGTCCTCCCCACCGAGCCCCGGCCGGGCCGCACGGTCCTCCCCACCTGCCCTCGGGGCACAGCACTCCCACCGGAGCCCCGGCGCAGGACGCCCTGGGCAGCCAGCCCCACCTGCGTCCCCTGGGAGTGACCGAGCCCCTTCCCGCGCAGACCCACGAGGAAGGAAGGTCAGACGGAACCGCCGAGGGGACGTCGGCCCGAAACTCACCCCGCGCTGGGCTGGTCGTGGCCGCGGCCTGGAAGCAGCGCGGCCGGAGGGCTCCGGAGAACCGCTTCCGGGGCTGGCAGGAACACGGAGGGCCCTCCCGGGACGAGGTCGTTGGCTCGCGGGGCCAGGGCTGAGCTAAAGCGCGTTCAGGGTCGCGTGGGCGGAGCCGGCTCCTCCGGGAGGCCCCCGGGAAAGGAGAGACATGGGAGGACTTCCCCGTAGGCCCGGCCGCCGACTCCGCGTCTGGCCCAACCGCCTTGGCTTCACGCCGGCTAAGGAAGGGCCGGTGTGTCCTGACTTTTCTGGGACAGCGGCGGTGGCCTGCCCGGCACCACTGTCCCTCCCGTCCTCAGTCATTGCCACGGTGGCGCCAAGCTGTCAGGGTGCAGGCGCCAGTGTCCTCTAAGTGCCAGTTCCAGACATGGAGGCGTAAGGAGTCTGAGGGCTAGGCCGCAGCCGCCCGGGCACCATCTTGGCTCCAGCAGGCTCAGTCTCAGCCACTTCTTGTCTGTCCAGGTTTTCGACGTTTGGAACGTCCCCAGCCCCAGTTTGGAACGTCTCTCTTGTCCCACTGAGACTTCAGTAACTGGGAAGACACATCCTGTCATTTAATAGATTCAGTGTTGCAAAGATTCCAATTCTCTCTAAACAAATGTATATGTTTGTTGTGATTGTAATTAAAATAAGAGGATTTTTAAAATGTTATTGTTTTTTATTTCTTTAATTTACCAGTGAATGCGGAGACAGAGAGCAAGCACCTTTTTTTTTTTGGAGAGATTTCTGTTATAGGGTGTATGTGCTCATCAGAGACAGAAAGCCAGAAATCACCCCCCCAAACCTTATGGCCACGCCCAATCCTCCTCCCCTCCATTCTCCTCTTGGGATTTTGGGCATGCGCATACGCGCCCGGTGCTCTCCTCTTGGGATTTTGGGCATGCGCACACGCGCCCTGTGCGAGTTTTGAGCAGCTGGGTCTAGGACTCAAACCATGGTTAACTACATGCAGTCCAAGGACGTAACCATTACTCCATCTGCTGGTCCCAAGAAAGCACCTCTTACAAAGTGAGTATGGTCACACCACAATCTCTTCTCCTCCATCTCTTCCTTTTTTCAGGATTTTGAGCACTCATGCGTATAGACGCAGTGTGTTTTTCAAGCCACTGGGTCCCAGACTCAAATCAGTCATTTGATCATATGGGATCTAGCCACCATGGGCTGCCCTTAAATATTGTTTTATATAAATGTTTTATGTAGGGTCTTCAAAAAGTTCATGGAAAATATGTATCATAATAAAAAAATATGAAAGGATTTTTTTAAAGGTTTTTTTGTTTTGCACTAAATAAAGTCAAAGTCCACTTTTCCACACACTTTTGAAGTCCCTGCATATGTTATCAATTTGCTCCTGTCAAGCTGGGACTACCATCTACAAGCCAAAGGATTTTTTTTTTTGTAATTGACATATAATCATTGTACATGTTAGTGCACTTCAAAAAGCTCATGGAAAATTTAATTAAACTATGAGTTTATTCATGAACTTTTTGAAGACCCTTTATGCTTACAGGTTACAGTGTGATTTTGAAAATACATGAAAATGATGTGTAATGATGAAATCAGAGTAGTTAGCATTTTTATCATCTCTGACATTTATCATTGCTTGGTGCTGAGAGCACTTAAAAATCTTCTCTTTTGTCTTTTCTGAAGTATTCTATTAATTAAAGTTAACTGTAGTTTCTGTGCAACAAAACACTAGAGCTTATTCCTATTAGTTAACTGTAATTTTGTATGCATTAACCAACTTAGGATTTTCTTTATAAACGGGTAAACTGATTCTAAAATTCTTATGGAAAAATATATAGAAAAGTCCTTTAAAAAGAGTAATTATAGGATGATGGTACTAAAGCATTCAAGGCATATTCATTGGTGGAATAGAACTAAGAACCTAGACACAGGGAAAACCACATTAAGGACTTGAAAATGTAATGAAAGCGTCATTCTGTTGTAGAAGATAAAGATGGATTATTGGACAAATTTCTTATTCAATAAATAACACTGTATGAACAGAGCAGACATAAGAAAAATTACTTTATCTCTATGTCACTCCTTATATCCAAGAAAACATCAGATGAAACAATAAATATTTTTGTAGAAAGAAAAAAGAAATAATGAAGCATTAGCAAACATCAAGGGGGAAAACATTTTTTTTTCCTTAAATCTTTGGGTAGAAAGGTCTTTCTAATGACATGAAATCCAGGAGCCAAAAGAGAAAAGATAAACTTAAAGACACATAGAAAAAAAATCAATTTCTTCATAGCAACAAATAAGAAAAAAATATTTGCAACAATATGTCATTAGCCATTAATATAAAATGCAGGGGCCGGCAGGTGGCATGGTGGTTAAGGGCGTTGTACTCCCACTTGGTCCACTATGCCAGTCCCAGACTTGGCAGCTTGCTTTCTCACTTTCCCTCCCTCGCTCTCTCTTTCTCTGTCCTCGCTGGTCAAATTAAAATAAATAAAGAAAGTTAAATAAAACAATTCTTTAAAAAATATTCAATAAAAATGAAATATACATATATATTATGTATTATATATATAATATATATATAATATATTATATATTCCTACTATGGCCAACAGACCAGTAGAAAAAAAATAAAAGGTATGACTAGATGATTCATAATATAATAAAAATGGCTCTTGAACATTTCAAAGATGTCGAACTTCACTAATAATAAAACAAATTCTAAATAAAACTGAGATACCACTTATTATATTTTATTACCTTACTAAGTCATAATTCCAAAAATCAGCACTCAATTATGTTTTAGTATGAGTAGGGATAAACAGGTCCTTAACCTTTCCATTGAAGTGAAACTGTGTGCTGGTAATCTCTCAATGTCTACCAAATTTTAAAAGGTTTGATCCCCTTTTCTTAATAACTTTCCATCTGCAAAATCATTCTTTAGAAATACTTCAACATGTGCTCGGCATCCTAGATACAACGCTATTCATTAAGCATGAGCAAACGTGTGAGAAAAAGACTGGGGACGACCCATTGGTAGGGGGCTAGTTAAACACATTTTGGTACATTCATGTAATGGATTAATAAGCAGACATTCAAACAGGACTTTCAAGCTCTATAGAGTTGTACAAATGTAAAAAGTCCAACTCTATTTTTTTTTTTTTTGGAGAGGTTTTTGCTATAGGGCGCGTGCGCTCGCCAGACAGACAGAGAGAGACATAGAGACAGAAAGCGAGAAATCACCCCCCAGGGGGGATGGCCACGCCGCAATCCCTTCTCCTCCATTCTCCTCTCAGGTTCTTGGGTACGCACGCACACGCGCCTAGCGTGAAATTTTAAGCCACCGGGTCATGACGCGAACCGCGGTCGACTACGTGAGAGTCCAGCGACATAGCCATTAAGCTAACTGCTAGTTCCCATCAACTCTATATGTTTTAAAATTGGACAAACTTCAATAGATGTTTATAAAAATGAAAAACTATATTACATGCTATGTGTACAAAAATAAAATGTTTATAAATTTATAGATCTGCAAGCATATACTCTCTTTGAAAGAACATATAATAAACTACAGTTGACTCAGACAGAATACTGGGTTGTTAAACAATTTTTCTACCAACTCAAAGACAAAAGTAAGTAGGAAATGTTCTTCTTATTTCTTTAAGTACTATTTAAATTGTGTATCACAACTATGTATTTATTTGAAAATTAAAAAAGAATTTTATCAAGTAATAAACACAGTGATTAACTTCTCAAAACTAACTAAAGAACTGATTTTCTGTACTGTATCCTGGCCTGATAACATACAATTTGAAGAACATACATAATAAAGTGTTTTTGTTTTCCTTCAAAATAGAAGTATCACATGCATTTTAACAAAAGAAGAGGTTTCTCTTTGCCAACTGGAGTTTGTTAGAAATAACACACCAAAATAAACAGAATTTGAAGAGTAAAATGCTGTATGAGGAAAACATATCCATTTACTGTTGTTAAAGTCACATTAGTAATTTGAGTATAATTTTGTACCACTTGTTCTAATAAGCTTCTTTAAAAGAATTTAGCAAATAACATAAAATGGCAAAATCATTTTAATGTAGCTACTTTTTTAAAAAGTTACAGATACACATTTTAAAAGTTTATTACTATACCCAATTTCCAATTAAGATATTCCACATTTTCTGGAGTATAATGCATCAATATTCACAAATAAAAATTCCTCTAAACTTGTTTTAGCAATTCAGATGTGGACAATTTTCTGAGTTGATTATAATAGTCTACAGAGTAATAATAACTTTATTGGCAAAAGGTTTATTTTTTTCTATAAATAACTACGAAAAAATGATCTATAGGAATAATGTAATTTTAGGAAATACAATGATTATTTTTGATACGTAATAATTCTCAACTGGAGAATAAACATTAAAATGTAATAAATTCTGTTAAGATAATGTTCAGGGGACTCTATTAAGGACAATATAAAGTTTCTAAAGCAGAAAAACACAGCTGTGGCTATCCACCTAAAATTATGAAAATATAATTTGGCAAACTTTATAAGAAACATTCTATAACTAGATTTTATTCATATATGCTTCCTTAGATTTATTTTGAAAATTTTATTCTCTCATTTCCTACTTCAGTTTATGCTGTGAAGGAAAAATAGAAAGGACTCTGGTGGCTGTGTCCACTTAATTTACACACACACCTCCAATTCCTGAAAACAAAATTTAGTAAATGATCCTTAAGAATGTCAAAGTAAGCAATGAAAATTTTTCAAAAATTCAAAAACATCAACATACTGACTTCATTCTGCTATTAAAATAATTACAATAGTCCCAGCCATGGTGGCATAGGCCGAAGCATACTGATCGGAGCCCACAGAAGGTTGGGACTCAAGTGGATCTGAAACACTCCCAAGTGCACGTACACCCAAGATCCTAACTAGCTAGAGACCTGGGGAAGGGAATTGTAGCGTGAAGAGACTCTGTCAAGGGTGCCATCTCTCTCTCACATTCTCACGAAAGAAACAACAACAAAAATAGATAACGAAGTGAGAGACACACACTCACCCCAAAATGTACATAATTATGAGAGAGT